GTCAAAGATCAGTTGACCATAGATAGATGGGTTGATCTCTGGATTCTCAATTCGATTCCATTGATCTATGTGTCTGTCATTGTACCAGTACCATGCTGAAGAATCTGGACTCTAAGAAGAAGAATGTGGCATCAAGATAGGAGGAAGACTCATCAATAACCTGCATTATGCAGATGATTCAACCTGGCTTGCTGAAAGTAAGGAAGACTTGAAGCACTTGTTGCAGAAGATCAAAGAACACAGCCTTCAATATAGATTGCATCTCAAAGCCAAGAAAACAAAATTCTTATCACTGGACCAATAAGCAACATCATGATAGATGTAAAAGATTAAAAGTGTCAACGACTTCATCTTACTTGGATCCACAATCAACATTCTTAGTGCCATCAGTCAGGAAATCAGGAGATGTTTTGCACTGGGAAAGTCTGCAGTTAGGGACTTCTCCAAATTATTGAGGAGTAATAATACAGTTTGAGGACTAAGATGTGTCTGTTTCAAGCACTGTCTTTCCAATCATTCACTGTGCCTCTAAAACTTAGGGAATAAGAATGACAGAAGAATAATTGATGCCTTTGAGTTGTCGTGTTGAAGAAGAATACGGAATGGGCTGTTAATATATCTTGGAGAGGGTACAGCCAGAGTGCTCCTGGAGGCCAACATAATAAAGCTTTGCCTCACATACTTCAGGCATGTTGCTAGGAGGGACTCTTCCTTGGAGAGGGACATGATGCTTGGAATAGCAGAGGGTCAGTGAAGGAGAGGAAAACCCTCAACCAGGTGGACTGGCACAATGACTGCCACAATGGACTCTAGTGTGCCAGGATTGTTGAGGATGGCACAGGAAAGGACAGGGTCCAGTTCTGTTGTTCAGAGTCACTATGGATCATACTTGACTCAAGGGTAGCTAACAACAACAGGTTGCAGAAGAATAGGGGTATTTCTTTGCATGGTGGATGCCAAGAGAAAGAGGTTATCTGAAAGACTAACTTATCTTTTCCTCAGGAATAGAAATATAATTTTCTTTTACTCTGTCTTCAATTTTTTCTTTGGTTTTGCCAGTCAGCCAGTCTTTATTTTAATTATTGTTGTTGCCTCTGTCTCCACAACTGTTTTTCCCTCTTTGATAATGATCAAGTTCAAAGAAACTTGAGAAGCCTTGCTCCCAGCACCTTCTCCAGAGTCACCAGGGACCCACTCTCCTCATTCCCCAGAGAACTGAGAACTGGGAACGAGTCTTTCTCATAGGGTCAGGCTTCACACAGCACTAATATGGCTAACTGCCAGAGTAAATCAGTGAGAAGTAAGAGTTTGGATAGATCTGGTTAAAGTCCATCCTAAACATCCAAATGGCCTGACCCTGAGGGGGAGGGCTCTTCTCTCTAGCAAAGCCAGCTTTTATGCAAGACATTTAGTATGTCAAAGTACCAGTCTTTAGCCTTGGAGTCAAATCTCCTGCCTGGGTTCTGTTTACAGCTCTGTCCAGGGGTAATCCTTAATTGAGTTCTTTACCCTTTTTATTCTCCCAAAAGGTCATCAGACTTTTGACCTACCTACTTGATTAGAGGCAAAAAACATTAGTGCAGAACTAGGAGCTCTTCAGGACAGAAATAACAGAGGAGTTAGCAATAAACTATTTCAAACACTCTTTTCTAACACCATCCCTCTACACACATTTCACAGGTCTAAGAGCCTGTTGGATCGAGTCTTCAAAGCAGTGCAGTTCCAGCCTGGCTGAAGAGCGCCATCTGGCGGCCAGTTTCCCGACCTGAATTTTCTTGCCCAGGCCAACTTAATCAAAGCTAGCACTAGACCAGGGTAGGAGCTATCACCTCCTCCCTTTCGTCACTCGGGGAACCCCGCCCCTGCCTGGAAAAGCACCTCCTCTTCGAAGTGGATCCAGTGCCTCCCCCATAGTGATGCCACCCTTCCTCCCGCAAGGGACGAATGCTTCCCGGTAAAAAGTATGCTTCGTGCTACCCCCTAGGGATCTGCTCCACCTCGCCCAGAGTCTGCCCCTCCCCTACGGGAACCTGTCCCACGCCCTCTTCCTTCCCCTCAGGGAACATACGTCGCCCCACCCTGTCCCTCTCCAGGAATGGACTCTTCTCCTACACATCCCCTCACTGGGAGACTCTTTCCGTCTACAGAACTCAAATCCAGGTTATCGATGTGGAGTTCCTCCTCTTCTCTCCTGAGAACCTCGTGCTTTGCGTTCCCCTGCCCGCCCACTCCGTGCACCCCAGCCCCCGGTGGGCTTTTGCCCCTTCACCACCTTCGCAGGAGGGCGGAGCCCTAGCAGGCCCGGCCCTGGGATGGGCCGTTCTGTCATGATGTCACTTCCGCCCGGGCCTGGCGAGGTTAGGGTTCCGTGGGCCGACGGTGGGGGCTGGTACGGAGGTGGCAGCTGTAGGAGGAGCCGGTGCGCGAGGCCGAGAAGCTCCAACCCGGACCAATCCCCGCGTCCTGGGCTGCGACCCCTGAGCCTGCACCGTATCGAGAGGAGCAACTGGCCGAATGGGCCGCTGAGCCGGAATCGGGGACCGGTGAGACTCGAGCAGAGCGGGCAGCTGGGTCTGGGGCGGGAGTGGACCCATGGGGCTGCGGGCTCTGGGATGCTGAGAGGGCAGAGAGTGAGGACAGAGGGCCTCAGTCTCCTGCTCGCCCGGAGGGGAAGTTCTAGCTGGTGGAGCGGCGAGGGGAGCGAGGTTTTGGGGAAGGCCCGACAGCCGTCGAGAATGAGGAGGGGGGCAGGGTGGTCGGGGTCCTTAATGCCTAGGAGGACTGTACTTAGGATGCTTGTTCAGACATGGGGGACAGGGAGTATTATTCCGTCCAAGACTTCGGGAGAGGATGATTCTTGGTGGGGGAGGTAGGAAACTGAGAGGCTTGGAAAAATTTTCCATGACCCTCATTGAACAGTTTGAAGAGCTGCTCTTCTTTCCCTAAAGGGTGGAGGAGAACATCTGAAAAAGCGTTGAGATGGTCAGTTAAAATATTTGAGAGGGACGGCGTTCTGACAGTACCTGCACTGAGGGACTCGCAGTGTGACAACTCAGGCTGTATGCAGAAGCCTGACCGCCCCCAAGTATCTGAGCCTGCAAATCTTTTACAGTGTGGAGCCCCCTGGAGCTAAGATCAGGATGTTCCGCTTCATGAGGGACGGGGAGCCTGAGGATCCCATGTTCCTGATGTGAGTGTTCCTTCCCTCTCATGTTCAGAGCACTGTGTCACTCCAAGCCTCTGAGGAGTCAGACTCAGCTATTTCCCATGGCTGGGAACGATTGGAACTAGGATAGCTGGATAACCCCACTCTAGCTCCCTCCAACTTAAAGAGAAAGTAATTTGCATCTGTATTACTCTGTCCTTATGACTTTTTTTTTTTGAGAGTGGGGTTGGGTGGAAGGTCTCAACTGCATGTGGTTCTGTCAGCCAAACTATATTCCCTCCTTAGGGACCCTTTTGCCATTCACCGTCAGCATATGAGCCGAATGCTGTCAGGTGGCTTTGGATATAGCCCCTTCCTCAGCATCACAGATGGCAACATGCCAGCGACCAGACCTGCCAGCCGTAGGATGCAGGTAATGATGTTACAAAATACCTGACTTCTGAAGGTTAGGAGATTTATTAGTGAAAGATTAGACTTTGTATTTTTCACACAGCTGCCAATTTAGCAAATGTCTTATAGGAGTGAACGAAGTTGGATAAATAGAAATTAACACAGGCTGACCCTCAAAATAAAATTAATGTCTTCACTTTCTCAATTCTGTATTTCTGAAACCACTTCCATGGCAAAAAATTTTCTCTCACTCTCTTCTCTCAGCCTTAACTTATCCATAGCACTTGGCACTTTATGGTCCCTGCTCACCTAGTCAGTGGAACCTCAAGGACTGCGCATGAATTAACCTCTTTTTTAAACCCAGGTGTGAGCCCTATGCAATCCCTACTTCTTGAGCTGTTTTGAAAAAACAAAGGCATCTTGATTGCTTCATTTACTTTAGGAAATGCCAGTCAAAAGACCAAACCAAGCTATCTGTTTCACAGAAGCAGTTAGAAAGAAAAAGTCTGATTTTCTTTTGACAGGGATAGAACATAAGCCAAGACCTTATACCTGGTTTGAGATTATAATGAGAATGGATATGGTTTTCAATTTTTTTTTCCCCTTATGTATTCTTAGGCTGGGGCAGTGTCTCCTTTCGGGATGTTGGGAATGGTAAGTCCTTATTTTTGCAAGTTCTCAGACACAGTTTCCTTTCGTTCTTATTTTTAAAAAGGGTTCTGTGGCATAGCCTTGTGGGTAACCCCAGGATCTTATTTAGAGTGTTCACGAAGTTGTGAGCCTACTGGGTGCTATTACTCTCCCCCCCTTTTTTTTAGTTGATGCCAGTATATTTATTTACTCTAAAGGTTGTTATTTTAAGAAGGGAGGTGCAGTTGAATGTCCATCTAGAAATGGTTTTTACTAGATTTTGAAATCATTTCACATTCTGCGTTTTTATAGGGCACTCTGGTGCCAAGTCCACAGGGCACTGTACTACTAACCCAAAGACTGCACCTCTCGGGCTGTTCAAATCCACTAGCAGCTTCAAGGGTAAACGATGGGCACTCTCCTCCAGTACTGTTGACAACCACAGAAACCCACTGGAGGGTCAGCTATGAGTCAATTCCATCTTGAGATTTTAACCTTTTTAAAGATCAGACTCTGTTAGCTTTGGGCCATTTCCTAGCCATCTTAGCTAAACCAGACTCAAGGCTACTGAGTTGATTCTAAGTCATGGGACTCTACATAGAGTTTCTAAGGCTGGAGATCCTAGTAGGAACAGATTGCCTCTTTTTTTCTCTCAAAGAATGGCTGGTGGATTTAAACTGCTGACCTTTTGGATAATAGCCCAATACATAAGCCACCAAGGCTCCTTACACTTCTAAGATGCAGAGAAATGGGGTAAGCAGGAGGAGAGAAAATTGGGTCAGGGTAGCCATAGAGATCAAGAAGGAGGTTGGCAGTATGTGGGAAGAGAAATATCGATGTTCTGATAAGAAATATCAGTCTATATAAGAGGGTGTGAAAAAGTCTTTGCTTCCCTCAAAATTTTATTTTTGTTAATATACAAATCAAAACATAACACCAGTCCATAAGTTTCTACATGTATTATTTAGTGAAACCAGTTACATCCTGTAAGTTGTTTGACCATTATCACCTTCCTTTCTAAGTTACTCTTCTTCCTTTTTTTTTTTAATGTGTGTACCATCTAATTGGATCTGACTGGTACAGGAAGCGATTGTTCCTCCTTTTTCAGCAGAGCATCTGGTGGATTTGAACCACGCACCTCAGGGATTGCAGTGCAGTTTCCTGCCACTAGGCCATCTGAGCTCGCCCCTTCCATTTATAAACTCACTGTTCCTTAAGGTTCCATCCACCCTACTGAGTTGTTGTCATTTTGATCCTATGTAAATAGTTTCTAAAATAGCCTAATGTTCAAAACAGACATATTTTACTAGGTAAGAGCTAAACTATTATTTGGCTTTAAGAAGACTTTGTGTATATTTTTGGTTTAAGGGTTAAAGATTATCTCAGGGCAATAAATTTTCAGGAGTTTATCTGGCCTCCATGTCTCTAATGACTGTGACAGTTGGAAAGCCTGTTTAGCATTTCCCCTTATTGATCACAATTATTCTTTGGGCTCTTTGATCATATAATAACTAGCAGTGATAGCCAAACACCATATTGTTCTTCTGGTCTTATAGCATAAGGATCAGTGAAAGAGCAGCAGTCATTTGGTGTGATAAAAGAACAGAACTATGTAGCCGTGTGGCCAGTGGGTACCTACTCTCTGAGCACTGACTTTGGTTTCCTGTTTTCGGTCTCTTTCTTCCAGTCAGGTGGCTTCATGGACATGTTTGGGATGATGAACGACATGATTGGGAACATGGTGAGACTGGTCCTCCTACCCTTCCCTAGCCTTGGTTTCAGTGATGCTGACAATACTTGAGTCCTCTGAGGTGCAGGAGTGGTGAAAGAGTATTAGGAAAAGGGGCCAAGAAGGATAAAGTTAACTGAACTCAGCACTGGAGTCCTTTATTTACCTTCACGCTTGAGCATGAAGAAGCAGCTTTCCTAAGTATACTGTTAGGGAGCTCTGGTAGCCTACTGGTAAGAAGATCTCCTGCAATCTCAAAGGCTTACGGCTTAAATCTGTCAGCTGCTCCACAGGAGGATGGGCAATCTTCTCCTGTGCAATTTACTGCCTCTCAAAACCTGCTGAGGTTCAGCTGAGTAGGTTCTGACTCGATGACACCACAAATACACAGTTAATTTCTTAAGGCTCCTTCTATTTATTTTAGACCCAGAGGGCTTTAGGGGCTAATAGTGAAGTCTAATATTTTTCTTAGATATGCAGATGAAGGGTGGGGCCCTTTTTCCTGAAGCGTGGACTTCCTTCTCCAGAGATGAAACTCTTCTCTATTCAGTATTCTCATACCCTTTCCTCCTCAGGAACACATGACAGCTGGAGGCAATTGCCAGACCTTTTCTTCCTCCACTGTCATCTCCTATTCCAATACGGGGGATGGTGCTCCCAAGGTCTACCAAGAGACATCAGAAATGCGCTCAGCACCAGGCGGCGTGAGTTGGGCAGTTCTCCTGTCCCAGGGAGGGCAGGATTTTAGTGGTTTTCCCTGTTTGGTGTAGCCAAGTTTGGAACAGCTAGCTGAATGTTCATGTTGTGCTTTCATCCCAGATCCGGGAGACTCGGAGAACTGTACGAGACTCAGACAGTGGACTAGAGCAGATGTCCATTGGGCATCACATTCGAGACAGGGCTCACATCCTCCAGCGTTCCCGAAATCATCGTACAGGAGACCAAGAAGAGCGGCAGGACTACATCAACCTGGATGAGAGTGAGCCCACTTCCCCCTGCTTCACTGTTTCCCCTTCTTTGCCCAACAGCCCTTAGTCCAGTTCTTGTCAACTAGGAGCTTTCTCTTCCAACATTTTGGGCAAAATTATGGATGAACCCCTAATTCTTGCCTCACTTAGAGCCCTGTTGTCACCCAAAGGGTGTTGACAATGTCTTCAACAAAAAGAGACAAACTTTGTCACCTAAGTCAGTATTGATAGTACTCCACACACCTCTATCTGGATCTTTCCTCCCCCTTTCTTTTCACTTAATCTTTTCCAAATTGACAGATTCTTATTAAATATTTACTTAGGTTATTGCCATAGTTGTTGTTGTTAAGTGCCATCGAGTCAAGTACAGCCACCCTATGAACCGTGTTCTATAACTTGTCATTTCTCTAATGTTCATGGAGTTTCCCAAGGCCTGTTGTTTAAGAACTGAATGCCAATCCTGCTTCCAGGCCCGTCTTAATCTGGGAGTTCTGCCACCTCCTGTCCACCATGGGTAACCATTACGGCATTTGACACACCAGTTGTTAGATATAAAAAAAGAAAGGAATTAGTACCAAGAAACGAACAGGCCTTTATTGCACTGTCTGAGGGATGCCTGAGAGGGACGCCAAGTGACCCAGCAGCATGGCACGCAGACAGGATCAAAATGGAGGCCTGGGGAGAACTAAGATGGTATTTCTCCGAATTTGACACGTTAATTAAGTAAGGTTTTAGCACCTTTTTTCCAAGCTCAGACCTTTATCAGGATCCATTGTCTGGTATGACCAGCTTAGATGTTATGAAGTTTCTCAGGAAGTGATCAAGCTTGGGGGTGGTGGCGCAACTGCCATATTCTTCCTTCACCAGTGGCACAGCATTCAGTTCCACAGCAAGCCCAAGTTTACCTTAACTGCAGAAAACTGACAGACCAGTGCTCCACCACTTAGAACAAGGTTCTTCCCAAACACAGTTAACACCAGTGGCCCTCAGGCCAAACTCTTTTAAAACAAAGGCCTGCCCACCACGTTCTGATTGACTTAAACAAGAGGCTTCCAGCCCACAGATTGTTAGCTAAATCCGGTGACCAGTTAGCTCACACATGATTGTAAATGAAATTAAAAATGACCTAGGAGTTGACTAAGCAGTTTACTTCTGACTTTCAATTAAATCAAGAAAACCTACCCTTCAGAATCCAGCTGCTTCACACATGATTCCTAAACTGGAGACTTAATCAGGGCCCAACCAACTTTAAATACAAAGGCCTGCCTACCAGTCCTGATTGCCTTAAATGAGCCTTCCAGCCCACAGCTGATTGTTAGCTAAATCCTGTTTGGTCATTTTTTATTTCGTTCACAATCGTGTGTGAGCTGACTGGTCACCAGGCATTGCTATAGAGTTTTAGCCAATTCATGGCTGACTATTGGATTTCCAAGGCTGTAAATTGCATGGGAAGAGATTGTCTTTATCCTTTGGAACATCTGGTGGATTTAAATGACCATTGGGGCAAGAACTTTGGGCTAGCAGCACAACTTTTTACAGAGTATGCAGTCAGAACTCCTTAGGCTCTGGTGCTTTACTGGCAAGAAGTTGTGCTGCCAATCCAAAGATAAATGAGGTAGTTCAAATATACCACCTGCACAGTGGGGAACAGATGGGCAGTCTCCTCCTGTGTGAATTATAGCCCCTGAAAACCCACTGGAGGGAGGGTCAGTTCCAACTTCGTGGCATACAATAACTGATTACCAATTCATTATTTCTTTTCCTGGAACCATGCTTCACTCAAAAGTTGCTGCTTTCCCCAAGACATCTTTCACTCTCCTCTCCCATCATTTGCTCACTCTCATATCTGCCTCTAGACAGTGTATTTGTATCAAGTTTGGTCTCCTTATTTCTCTAGGTGAGGCTGCAGCATTTGATGATGAGTGGCGGAGGGAAACTTCCAGATTCCGGCAGCAACGCCCTCTGGAATTTCGACGGCATGAGGCTTCAGGGGGTGCGGGACGACGGGCTGAGGGGCCTCCCCGCCTGGCTATACAGGGACCTGAGGACTCCCCTTCCCGACAGTCCCGACGCTATGACTGGTGAAAACCCCAGGCCCTCAGCCTCTCCGGTAAATATCAGCTGGTGAGGAACCTTGGGGAACACACCAGCATGACTGGGGCAGGGTACCGGTCCTCATTTTTTATAATGCCATGAGTAGAAGCAATACAGGTGTCTACCAAACACTGTTTACAGTGTAGCTGGCATGGAATGAAAAACACTCTCCGTGGAATAGGGGATCAAACCCCAGCTGTGACACTTGTATTTTCTATTTCTTTTGACTTCTTTTCTTTTCTCTCCAGGTACAAACTGTGAGAGGCTGAGAAGTCAGTCCCCGAGATAACTCTGCCCTCCAACTCCTACCCCCAATTTAATATTAAATTAATAGGCAAGCTGCCCCCCCTTCCTCCCTGGGGGACTCAGGGAGAACTTTTCACAGCCCTTTTACCTATTTTTCCGTCTTTAAGTCCCATATCATAATGACTCCTCCTGTATCCACTAACTTGATTTTTCACTTTGCTGCTCCATCATCCCATCACTTCCCCCATTCTGCCCTTGCCATGCAGTGAAGGAAAGGGTTTTTTGGGGTAAGGTCCAGGTCCTCTATCCCTCATCTCTCCTGGGTTTTTGTCCACCTCTTCCTCAGAGCCCCTGCTGCAGGAGCCACAGCCCTGGTCCAGGACTGTGGAGGGAGAAGACTGGTCTCATTCCTAACTCTTCATCCTCAACTCACCCTCACACATCACAAATATCTTCCCTATACCCTTCCTTGCCTTTAATTTTGATTTGTGCAACTTGTAACCAACTAGGTGTTTATGGAATAAAGAAGGATGGAAAAAAGACTAAATAGGATTCTGCCTGTACTTTTGTTCTTGAATAATTTCTACCCACTTGTCTCCTTCTCAGAGTTCAAGCCCCAGGCCTCAGTGGTGGTGACAGTGGAATGTGTCAGAATACTAGTGCAGACAAACGGAAGCAGGGCTGAAAAATTCATTCTTGCTGGCTCTGCCTCAGTTTTTGCTGTAACTTGATGCTCTTTGGTAGGAAGTAGTATCGTGTTGAGTAAAAAGTGACCCTAGCTGACTCTCCGGCGGGTTTTCAGAGGCAGTTAATTGCACAGGTGGAGACTGCCAATCTTTTCTCCCACAGAGAAGTAGGGTGTACCTGATGAGTATTTAAGGGATTGTTCCCTCTTGCTTCTTGGACATAGTTGCTTCCCTGGACTGTGGGAACACATAGTATACATGCAGGAGGAACCCACATGACCTGAACTTACAGACCCTGATGGGGGAGGAACTTGGGCAATTTGAGCGCAGAAAAAGAGACCGGAGAAGAAAGCTAACCTGGAACCAGAGCAGTGCTGGAAGGGTATAAGGAGCTCTCACATTTCCCCTCAAGATTTTCTCTCTTGTTGACCTGGCCTAGCCAAATAGGTCATTCTGTTCATCCTGGGAACTTAGTTCACAATAATAAATATTTGGAAACTCTGATTATGGTTTCTTTATAAAAATCTTGCCTGTGCAGTGGGTCGATCAGAAGCAAGACGATACTCTGAAGGCTGTACATTGATGGACAAGTAGATTCTGGGGGATGAGTCATCTGTCTGGTTACTCAATCACAGAGACATCAGGTTGACTTAAACATCCAGGTACTAACTTCCTGATCTAGTGCAGTGAACTCAATATTTGATTTTTTAAAAAAACAATCCCAAAACTGGTGAAAGTTCATAATCAGGACTGAAAGAAAGAACTCCAGAGCTAGAAGACTAGGGATCTTAGAAGTCACATTGGATTGATAAACTGGATGACAGAACTCTAAAGTATACAATAGTGCTCATTGCTGCCACTAACCCAGTCATGTGGTTTGGGGTGGGTTATCCACTTTCCTGGATCTCAGTTAAGTAGGTCCTTTCTAGCTAATTTTAGACATAGTCTACAATCTAAAATTTCCACCTGGGTTTCCATTGCAGTCTTAGTAGGGGCTCTGCAGTGAGGAACACCTTTCACTCCAGAACTTTCTGAGATGTGTGACTAGTTCTCAGGAGGACATTAGGTACTAGTACAGTGAAGTGTTCTAGATCCATCAGTCTGGTCCCTTCTGGTCCATCCTGTGGAGTGAGGACTAGAGAGTTAAGAGAGGAACTATGGAGGGATGGTGACATGTCATTTAAGATCTGTCTCCAGCCTAAGACAAGGGTCACCCCTACACCCCTTTGTTTTGACAGATGTCCAGAGGATACAAACTTAGAAAGATTATTTCTTCGACCCCAGAAAATCATAGTTTGAAGAGGCTGATATGTGTTGGGAAATGAAACAGAATTGTATGTTCTCTTGTGTCTTCAAGTCAACCAAATCAGCAGGTTTTCAGAGGCTGTATATTGCACTGAAGGAGATTGACCATCTGTGTCCCACAGAATGGCTGGTAGATTTGATCTGCCTTTGGGTTGATGGTGTAAATTTTTACCAGAGCTCCCCAAACTGAATAGTATGTTCTTACTAGGGGCCATCTAGGTGACTGACACATAGCAGGCCTATGAGCAATGCATCTGAAGCCTGTGCTATCCTGTGCCATTCTCATCTCTGATATACTTGAGCCCATTGTTATAATCATTACATTGATCATCTTTTTGAGGGTTGTCTTCTCTTTTACTGACCCTCTACTTCTCCAGGCTTAAGGTCTTTTTACCCCCCAAGGACAGAGAAGTATAATTATGAATTATAATTTGACCTCGGTATCTCAGTAAGACCTAGTTCCACCACTTTGCTATGAACCTAGGAAAGATTCTAAACTGGTCTAAAGAGGAGTTTTCTGATTTGTAAAGTGAAACTTTCTAGGCACAGGTGGTAGGGGCAGATGGATTTGTATCTCAGAATTGTGGAAGAAAAAGGTGCCCTGGATCAGATGCAAAGAAAGCATGTGATAATGCATGGGGTACAATTACTGAATAAGACAGGGCAAGATGGTGCAACCACTGGAAAATGGTGTGGCACTTTCTAAAAAAGTTGCAAATGGAGATACCATTTGACCCAGCAATTCCACTACTGGCAATATATCCTAAAGAGACCATAACCGACATCCAAGCAGATATATACACATCGATGTTTACTGTGGCTTTGTTCACAATAATAAGGAGTTGGAAACAACCCAAGTGCCCATCAACAAATGAATGGATAGAGAAGCTGTGGTATATTCACACAATGGAATACTATGCTGCATTGAAGAACAAAGAACTCATGCAATATTTAAAATGGGTGACCCTGGAGGACATTATGCTGACTGAAATATCTCAGTCACAAAAGGACAAATACTGCATGGTGCCACTGTTGTAGAATGGAACTGACATCAGGGTTGGGTTAAGACTGAGAAAAACTGGATAAATTATGTATACGGCATTGAAACAGATGAGGGAGAGAACAATTTAAAAGCGATATATGATAGGGTATTATGGTTATCAAAAGAGTCCAGAATGAAGGTTGCATAATGGAGTGTACTCAGGGAGGCTGAGGGCAGGGGTTGTGGGGGGATTGTATACCAATGAAAGAATTTTACTTTTCAAAGAGGAGTGAAGTGGGGGGGGGGCTGGGCAGGGAGAAAAGTACAACAATAAATGAATGGAAATCCAAAATCTCTGTAAATGTTCATTAAAATTAATAAAATTTAAGAAAGACAGGGCAAGAGCTGTGCATTTTAAAGGACTCCGCTGCTAACCAAAAGGTTAGCGGTTCAAACTCACCACTGTGGGAGAAAATGGGCAGTCTGCTTCCACAGGGATTTAAAGCCTGGAAAACTTTACAAGACAGTTCGACTTTGTAAACTAAATTGGCCTACAGACCCAGGAGCTGATCTATACATTCCAAGTCTGTTTAAATGCACCAAAAGGTCCTGCTTTTATTCTTCCCATTCTGAGAATGGGTAGTTTCAGAGCTGAGGAAGCAACAGGGTGCTAGGATTCCCCCCCCCCAGTTACATTTTCTTAGAAATCATTCAGGTCATTAAATATGAGAAATGAGATATGAGGCTGCACTAGAAAGGGGAGCTAAAGATGGATTAAGAGAGCCTGGATTTAAAAGTGGCAGAATTTCTAATATATAGGAAGAAAAACAACTAACAAGCACAGGAAAAGATGACTTTATGTACTTGGTCCTTGAAGGGGTCTTCCAACCAGCTTTCATTCCTAGACAAGCGTGGTGGGGGTAGGAGATGGAGCTGATACAGCTGGAAGGACGTTCACCCTCAGGAACCTAGGGAGCTGGCCAAGACACTAGACTGTGAGACGGCAGCAAGTGATGAAGGCTGGCTATGGGAGGGAAGGAGGAGACAGTTGACTGTAGAAGGCTTGCCCTTGTCCCTCCCTCTGGGCTCAGTGTCTGAACTGAGAGCAACTGGATTAGCATTCAGAATTCTGTTCCCCTCAAGATCGATCCTTTTTTTTTCAAAGACAGGGTTTTTAATTTAAATTTAATACACACTCTAACTCTTTACTCATAAGGCAGAGTTACTACTAATCATACTTGAATGTTACAAAATTAAAGATTTCACAAAACATTAAAGATCTTTGCAATAAGATACAGGATATAAGAGGCTTCGAAGATAAAATACATTGTTGATTATTAGAAAACAATTAACTATCTGTTCTCCAGTGTTTCATTTGGTCCTTACTGTAGGTCATTGGAAGTTATTAAAGTTTTGTGAAGCTGAAAAGAACTGGGAGCATATGAATGTTTGTTTCCAATCTACTGATTTTTTAAAAAGTAGTCTAGAAGAAGTTTATCTTTTACTTTTCAAAGAGAGGAGTGAACTGGGGGGAGGGGGGGTAAAGAAAAAAGTGCAACAATGAATGAAAATCCAAAATCTCTGTAAATGTTCATTAAAATGAATAAAATAAAATTTTAAAAAAGGAGTCTATTTGTTAAAAATTACTAAAGCACTAAACATGTCAATAAAAGTTAGAAATTATTTAGTGTATGATGAGTTTATTCAAGATCTTTCTTGATAACCTAGTCTTTCAGAGTGGGGAATCCTCCCAGTATCCATCCCTTTCCCCT